CCATCCCAGTGCCACCATTCCCATCCCAGCACCACCATTCCCATTCCAGCACCACCATTCCCATCCCAGTGCCACCATTCCAATCTTGGTGCCACCATTCCCATCCCAGCGCCACCATTCCCATCCCAGCACCACCATTCCCATCCCAGCGCCACCATTCCCATCCCAGCACCACCATTCCAATCTCGCTGCCACCGTTCCCATCCCAACGCCCCCATTTCCATCTCCACCATCCCCACTCCATCTCCACCACCCCACTCCCAGCTTTTCCTCGCTCTTTTCCTCCTTCCCACCCCAGGAATTTTGTAACCCCTTCATGCCCAACTCAGCCAGCGGGAGGGAGAACCATTGACCTCCAGCCGGGATCCCTCCGGAATTGGGATCCAGCATCCCAAAATCAGGGCTTGGAGAGACTTCCTGGCTGGATTTTAACCCTCTGGAAAAGCCCCTGGGAGCTCTGCAGGGAGGGCGTCCCCCAAACCGAGCCCGGATTTGGGATCTGGGGCAATCCCAATGGGTGATTCCCCAAGATCATTTTAATTCCTGCAACTGGGGCAGAATTCCTGTGGATTTTTTTTTTTTTTTTTTTTTTTTTTTGGTGGAGTTTCTCCTTTCCTGGTGGGAAGCGAAGCCACGGAGGCTCCTCTGGAACGGCCCCACGGCCAAACCCTCGAATTTTCTTTCCCAGGATATTCCCAACCTCATAAAATCCCCCGTCGGGAGCAGCTCGGCGCCCACGGCGCTTCCCAAACTTGTCCTTTAATAGGAAAACACCCCAAAATGGGAGCTGGGCTTTCCAAGGAAATATTCCTTCAGGGAGGATCATTCTGGAGAGATGGGAATTGTAATAGAGATGAATTTTTTCCAGTATTGCCAAGGAAGGAAAGAAATCAAAAATTATATTGAAATTACAGGGGAAAAAAAAAAAATCTTTAATTCAAATTCTTCCTTGGTATAAATCTCCTGTTTCCTCCTGTCTTTCCAAATTATTATTGCCAGGATTAAATGCTCCGTTTTCCCAAAAAAAAAAATTATGGATTCTATTTATGTATTTTTAAAAAATCCTAAGTCATGGAGATCTGTCGTCTTTTCCTGGATATTTATAAACTCTCTGCATTTAGGGCCGGAGGGAAGAACCAAGCTGCAATTTAGCTCCAGATTGTGGGAATTCCATGGGTAATCCACACCCAGCCACTCTTTAATTCCATTTATTTTCCATTTCCCCCCCTGCCAATTTTTTTGATTTTTGGACTGATTCCTTCCGTTTTGGATTTTTTTTTCCCCTGGTCCAATTCCTTCCATTTTTTTTTTTCCCTTTTCTCCTTGTCAAGAATTATATAAATTGATTAAATTATGATTAAAATTACAGGAAAAAATATCTAATTTGAATTATTCCTTGGTATAAATCCCCTATTTGCTCCAGGCTTTCCAAGCTATAATTCCCAGGATGAAGTGCTCCGTTTTCCCAACGGTTGTTAACCGCATTTTTTGGATTTTTGGACCGATTCCTTCCATTTTATTTTTTTTCCCCTGATGGTTCTCCCCTATCAAAAATTATATAAAAATTACAGAAAAAAAATCTTTAATTCAAATTCTTCCTTAGCATCAATATCCTGTTCGCTCNTCCCCTATCAAAAATTATATAAAAATTACAGAAAAAAAATCTTTAATTCAAATTCTTCCTTAGCATCAATATCCTGTTCGCTCCTGGCTTTCCAAGCTATAATTCCCAGGATGAAACTCTCCGGTTTCCCAACGCTCGCTAACCGCATTTTTTGGATTTTTGGACCGATTCCTTCCATTTTATTTTTTTTCCCTGGTGGTTCTCCCCATCAAAAATTATATAAAAATTACAGAAAATATAATCTTTAATTCAAATTCTTCCTTAGTTTAAANATTTTTGGACCGATTCCTTCAGTTCTGTTTTTTTTCCCTGGTGGTTCTCCCCATCAAAAATTATATAAAAATTACAGAAAATATAATCTTTAATTCAAATTCTTCCTTATTTTAAATCCCCTATTGCCTCCTGGCTTTCCAAACTATAATTCCCAGGATGAAACGCTCCGGTTTCCCAACGGTCGTTAACCTGATTTTTGGATTTTTGGACCGATTCCTTCACTTTTCTGGGACGTTTTCCTGACCGGTTTTCCCTGTTTTCCGCACAGATGCCAAAGGGACGATCCGGGAGATCGTGCTGCCCAAGGGGCTGGACCTGGACCGGCCCAAGCGGACGCGGACGTCCTTCACGGCGGAGCAGCTCTACCGCCTGGAGCTGGAATTCCAGCGCTGCCAGTACGTGGTGGGCCGGGAAAGGACGGAGTTAGCGCGGCAGCTCAACCTCTCCGAGACGCAGGTGAGACCCGCGGAGGCTCCTCGGGGTCGGGGGACACCGCGGTGGCCGCGGCCCCGAGCCGGCGGCGTCGGGACGCGCGCGGCGTTCCCGGCGGTGGTTTTGATCATGGCGCCCTTGGAATGGTTGGGATGGGGTTGGGGGACAACTCCGAGGGGTCCGTGGGGACACCGCCAGCCTGTGGTGTCCCTTCAAATGTCCGGCAAAGGGTCGAGGTGAGGTTGGACAGGGGTTGGAGCAACCTGGAAAAATGGGAAGCGGCCCTGGATGAGCTTCGGGGTTGTTTCCAACCCAACGCGTTCCATGATCGCGGGAAAAGTTGGAAGAGGAAGGAGCAGGGGGTGACAGCGGTGACGTGGTGGGACATGGTGGGGATCGGGGCGTGTGGGGGCTGCTCCCGCTTTTCCTGCACCCCAATCCCAGCCATCCAGGAATTAACCCCTGGATCTCTTCTCCATTGCCTTCCTTGGATGATGGGAAGGGATTTTCCTGGTTTTCCGGTGCTGGGGAGATCCGGGAGAATGGATGGGGTGAGCTCTGATGTTGGTGCCCCTGATGGGGTCGTGATGGTTTTGGCTTAGAAATTTGTTATTAAATAGCAATCGTAATTAATTAAACAGTATTAATGATGGCATTAATATAATAATAATAATAATAATAATAATAATAATAATAATAATAATAATAATAATAATAATAGAATAATTATACATATTCTTCCTTGTCCACTCCTTCCCTGCCAGGTCTGGCAATGGCATTGTTTACCTTGATTTGCACAGGGAATAATTCCCATTTTTCCAACCTTTTTTATGGAACAAACCCATTCCGGCCGTGGGCAGCTGTCCCTGGCTCCCAGGGGTGGCATTTGGGGGGATCCATCTGGGGGGAAATCAGCATTCCGGGATGTTTCTGGTGGGGGATTTTGGTGAGGAGGAGGATTTGGGGCGGGATTCAGCCTTGGGTTCCCTGTTTCCGAGGTCCCCGTGTCACCTCCATGGTGCCACGAGGGTCACAGGTGACCGTGTCACCTTGTGGGGACAGCTTTGTCCCCCTGGTGAGGGGTTCCCTTTTCCTGGAATTCCTCTTCTTGGGGCTCCTCTTCCCAGGAATTCTCTTCCCAAGTTCCCAGTGTCACCTCCGTGGAGCCAGGAGAGTCACAGGTGGCTGTGTCACCTTGTGGGAACAGCTTTGCCCCCCTGGTGAGGGTTCCCTTTTCCTGGAATTTCTTTTCCTGAGGTTCCTCTTCCCAGGAATTCTCTTCCCGAGGTCCCAGTGTCACCTCCATGGTGCCACGAGGGTCACAGGTGACCGTGTCACCTTGTGGGGACAGCTTTGTCCCCAGCACAGGCAGCGGCTGATGGCTCCCTCTTCCTGGGGTCGGTCCCTTTTCCCGGAATCCCTTTTCCCAGGATCCATCTTCCCGGGATTTCTCTTCCCGAGGTCCCAGTGTCACTCGCACGGAGCTGGCACTGTCACACTGCGGGGACAGCTTTGTCCTTTCCCCAGGGTCCCTGCTGCCCCTGTCCCGGTGTCACCTGCACAGATCCATGGGGAGCAGAGGATTCCAGGGAGCCGGAGCTGCACAGCCATTCCCTTTTCCCAGGATTGCTCTTCCTGGGTGTCACCTCCACAGAGCCGGGAGTGACAGGTGACAAGGGACAAGTTGTGTGTCCCCGGCATGGGATCCCTCTTCCCAAATCCCTCTTCCCAAATCCCCTTCCCAAATCAACATTTTCACATTCCCCTTCCCAAATCTCCCTTCCCAAATCCCTCTTCACAAATCCCAAATCCCCAATCCTCCTTCCCAAATCCCACTTCCCCAATTCCCCTTTCCAAATCCCCCTTCCCAAATCCCCATTTTCACATTCCCCTTCCCACATCTCCCTTCCCACATCCCCCTTCCCAAATCCCACTTCCCAGGATCTCTCTTCCTGAATCCTGCTTCCCAAATTCCTCTTCCCATATCCCAAATTGCCCTTCCCAAATCCCAAATCCCACTTCCCAAATCTCCCTTCCCAAATCCCAAATCCCCCTTCTCAAATCCCAAATCCCCCTTCCCAAATCCCACTTCCCAGGATCCCTTTTCCCAAATCCCTCTTCCCATATACCAAATCTCCCTTCCCAATCCCACTTCCCCAATTCCCCTTCTCAAATCCCCCTTCCCAAATCCCCCTTTCCCAAATCCCAAATCCCCCTTCTCAAATCCCAAATCCCCCTTCCCAAATCTCCCAAATCCCCCTTCCCAAATCCCAAATCCCCCTTTCCCAAATCCCAAATCCCACATCCCCTTCTCAAATCCCCCTTCTCAAATCCCCCTTTCCCAAATCCCCCTTCTCAAATCCCAAATCCCATATCCCAAATCTCCCTTCCCAATCCCACTTCCCCAATTCCCCATCCCACATCCCCCTTCTCAAATCCCCCTTTCCCAAATCCCAAATCCCCCTTCTCAAATCC